TCACCAGGTGAACCCCATCGATTCATTCAAGGTGTTATTGCGCAACAGGAACCCGAGGTTGTTGGCAATTGGCGAGGCGCTACTGCTAAGGTTGAATTGTCCCTTGCTCTGTGCCCAGAAACAATTGAGGCAATCAATTAGATTGCCTTGGACCTGATTACGTCATTCTTATCATTTTTATCTGCTTATCTTTGTTACTAAGTGTGGACCCTATGTATTGCGTGTTTTGTCTTGCCTTTATTGCGTAGCGACTGACGAGAGCAATCGAAGTGTTAACATATCGCAACCTATGTCTTCTTACTGCCGTAATGAAATCCGGAATATGTCCGAAGATAATCAGGTCCCTGTGAAGGCTATAAAATATGTTTGTTTCTCTGAGGCAAGGAGTTGGATTTCGTCAAGCTTGTTACTTATGCTACGTACATTGGCAGTTATCACTTGTAGCAAATTCCTTAGTTTTGCTGCCTGGGTATGACGAGTAATGGTTTCCATCGAACTCTCTGCACTTTCTGTACGACGCGAAAATCCACAATGTGGAGATTAACTTCCCATTTGACCGAAGTTTCCGTAAGTCTTTGACAACGCAATTCATTCGGACCCGATCTTCTGGATAAAGGTTTCGGAGTACATAAAAGGATTCCCCCTTAGGATGTGAAGTCTGTCTGAGAACCCGACGGCATTTATCTTCATTCTGGCAGATAAGCTTGTTTCATGCTTAGACAAAAGGCAGAAACAATACTGATGTCCATCTCGCCTTCATCGAAAAGCTTGGAAACCATTCGTTCTAGAAAGTCCTGGTCATCCAGTATCCTAGCAGCCGCAGTATGCTTATCGGATTCAGGAGCGTTCATGAGGATCAAGCATCGATTGCGATTTGTTGTTCTCACAAACCGGCGAATTAGGAAGCGGGCTGTCATTAAACAGCTTTTCTAATTGGCATACTCTGTCAATAACTTGTTTTAGTTGGCTAGGATGGCTTTTGTTTGGATCTTGTTGCGCTCCGGACTGTTTTTCCTTGAACGACTGCGCTCCGGTTAACGGAGGCTGGAGCTGCACCACTGCTAACAACTGCTCCATATGTTTTGGGTCTAAGACATTTGCTGTCATCATTAAGAGTCAGCGGCTCCGAAAGTGACGCAAATAAGACCCGGCTACATTTGACAAGAGGAGTGATGGTCTTGATTTCACGTCCGCTACGTGTCATGGTCACTGAGGATGAAGCAGAGGAGTCTCTAGTACGACTTATGTTCGTAGTCGCCGAACTGGACACGACAACTGGCGGCAGGGGGTCAGTCTTGGTTTTGCATGCGTGGGCCAGAGGGCTGAGCGGGGTTAGGTCAGGTCAGGTTCCAAGGATGATACAAACTTCCGCCTAATGAGCGCCCTGTTTCTTGCACTGGTAAGCGAACCAAAGCCCCCGGTACTTAAACTTCTGAGTTACTTACGCGGCTTCTGCAAGAGATTGAGCAAAAACAAAAGTACTCACTGTACTGCCACACAGTACTAGGTTACAGCGATATGATACAATAAATTATAACAATTCTGGAAAAAATTCAGGGCAACACCCATCTAGACCAGTTTTGAAGGCCTTCACGATACTGCATTCTATTAATGCTAGAGGCACCTTATTCCCGGAGCGACCTAACGACAAGAGATTTGCTGGGCAGATCTTTCTTACGACTCAGCGTCAGGCACATTCGGCGCTGATCTGCTTGAGCTTACGCTCCAAGTATCTTTGCACCAATTCATTGACCTCCCCGCTACATACATGGACGCCCAAGTACCGTCTATCTTAGACCTTGTATTTGCTAAGTCACTCGATTTTGTTGGTGGCATTACTTACGGACCTCCACTGGGTTCCAGTGATCATGTTTGTTTGCTCTTCAGTAGTACTCTGTCTAGATGCTACCAGAGTACTGTTGAGTCTCGCTTGAACATATGGCACGCAGACTATCAATCCATGAGAGCCAAGGCTTAGGGTTTGCATTGTGAGATCTCAGACGACGATACTGTCGACGTTGCCTGGGATAAATTTAAGTACTACCTCACAGAGGTCTCTGCTCCCTTCATCCCAGTCAGAAGGAGAAAGGAGGCCCGAGCACAGCCGTCCTGGATAGATACCACTGGCAAGCATCTGCTCACAAAGAGGTCTAGTTGTTGGCGGACTTACCGAGATGCTCCGTCCACCGATACTGATGACAGGTACCGTAAGGCTAGAAATAGGTGTAAGCAATACCTAAGGGATGCTCGGCTCAACTTCGAGAAAGGGTTGTCGGACGAAGCTTCAGAGAATCCAAAAAGATTCTTCGCTTCGAACATGTCAATTCCAGTATTGATGCGTGATGATGGTACTCATGTGCATACGGACTATGACAAGGCCTGCGTACTTAGTGGACACTATGCGACAGCGTTTGTAAGGGAAACCACTTTGACAGGCGTTGAGCTGGTTTGCAGGACCCCAAAGGGTTCAGAACTATCTGAATTTATTGTAGCGGAGACGGAAGTTCGTAGGCTGTTACAAGAGTTGAACTCTTCTAAGGCCTCTGGGCCTGATTTAATTCACCCGAAACTGCTGCATGAGTTGGCTGCAAAACTAAGTAGACCGCTCGCTATTGTGTTTCAGAAATCGCTTGACAGCTGTGCATTGCCTTCCGAATGGAAGGAAGCTGTCATCTGTCCCATCTTCAAAAATGGGGACAGGGGTCTGTCTGCTCCTCTTTTGTGGTTCGCTCATCTTAAGGCTGCGTTTTATAACCACAGAATCACTTCCGACTACGCGAAGTATAGCAAGCTAATGCTCTATATCCAGTAGGAGATATCAAGGAAGATTCGTGACGTCATCATTTCTCAGACCGAAAACCGCTATGAGGCTCTCAAGGAGGCCACGATCAAGAGTGTTATACCCTCTGAGAAAGTTCGTCTACAGCAGCTTTCCAGGGCTCTGCAGCTGGACGACAAACTGCTCTCAATCCTGCTACGAGAGATGCAGCCATTCCTTGGTTCCTCAGCCATGGACGAGACGTTACTTCGTGAACTATGGCTACAGCGGCCACTGTAAAGCAAGCAAGCGATTTTCGCTACAGTGAGCTCGGTTTCGCTCACTCAACTAGCAGATTTAGCAGATCGAGTTATTGAGCGATCACAGCCACAAGCCGAAGCCAGCAAGATCAATGCCGTAGAGTCTCAGAGCACTTCTATCACCGGCTTACAGTCAACTATAGAAGCCTTGCAAACACAAGTTGCGACACTTAGTCGCCAGGTCCAAGAGCTTACTATGAACCGTCGTCGTCATAGCCGCTCAAAATCGCCCTTCAAACGTTCTAAGTCTAGCAATAGGCAGGCTACCTGTTAGTACCATCAGCGCTTTGGTACTGCAGTTCATAAATGTGTAAAGCCTTGCAAGTTCGCCGAGAAGCAGGGAAACTTCGCTGCTGGTCCGTAACGGCGACGGACGCGACCGGCCAACACCAAAGTCGCCTCATCCGCGTTAGGGAGTTAATTTCCGGCACCGAGTTTCTAGTCGACACTGGAGCCGAAGTTAGCGTTATACTTTGCAGCCCAGAAGAGGTCGTCTCACCATCGCCGAACAAGCTGCGTGCCGCCAATGGCACACCAATCGCAAATTTCGGCGAAAGGCTGCTAACGCTCAATTTAGGCCTCCGGCGAACCTTTCGCTGGCCTTTCATAATCGCTTCCCTGTCTTTCGCATTCATAGGCATAGACTTTCTTCAACGCCTCGAGCTCATCGTAAACGCTAAAAGGAAGAAGATTATCGACTCCAGGACACAGCTCAGTGTTATTGGGACTAGCGCCAACGTGGCTGCTATCACTCCCATTCGTGTCCTACCTCAAGCTTCACAACCTTTTATAGAACTTTTCAACAAGCATCTTAAACTCGTTCGCGTCCTGAACGACTTGCCTCCTGTGACGTCAAACGGCACGCATCACATTTGCACTAAGGGCCCACCTGTTTCGGCCCGCCCTCGCAGGCTAGCCCCGGACAAGTTCAAAGCTGCTAAGGCGAACTGGGAATAATCCACCCGTCCAAAAGTCCATGGGCATCACCATTACACTTGGTACCGAAGGAATCCGGTGGCTGGCGCCCCTGTGGTTACTAAAGGGCATTTAACAAAGTTACCGTCCCGGATAAATACCTCATTCCGCACATGTGCGGTTTGACCTCAGCTCTAGCTGGTAAGTCTATCTTTAGCAAAGTCGACCATGTTCGCGCCTACCATCAGATACCTGTCGCACCAGACGACATTGCTAAAACAGCGGTCATCACGCCATTCGGCCCATTCGAGTACCTCAGAATGTCTTTCGGCCTCAGCAACGCTGCCCAAACTTTTCAGCGTTTCATTCATGAGGTAACGCGAGGAGTCGAAGGCGTTTATCCTTATCTAGATGACATTCTCATAGCCAACTCTTCTGAAGAGGAACATCATCACCTCGGCGCTCTCTTTCAACGCTTAACACAGCATGGGGTTACCGTCAACCCTGATAAATACCAGCTTTCTTGGCCACCGCATATCCGCCTCTGGTATTGAAGCTCTGCCAGACCAAATCGAGGCACTGAAGGACTATCCTGCTCCCAGTTCCTTCAAACAGTTACGCCGATTCCTTGGCCTGGTCAACTATTAGAGACGCTTTATTCCTAACGGCGCGAGCATTGTACAACCAATGGCTGACGTGCTCCGCGGGAAACAACGGTCTTTTCAGTTTGCAGACGACGCTAGACTGTCCTTTGAGAAGCTTAAAGACGCTATCTCCAACATAGCGCTTCTCGCCCATCCAGAAACGTCTGCATCATTCCCCCTACAACTGACGCATCCGACACTGCCGTCAGTGCAGTTCCTCAACAACACATCGACCATCGATGGATACCTCTAGGTTACTTCTCGAAACCTTTACAACCTGCCGGATCGCGTTACAGCACCTTCGGTAGGGAACGGTTAGCTACCGACCTAGGTATCAGACATTTCCGTCGCTATCTCAAAGGTCGACATTTTACAGTCTCCACTGACCACAAGCTATTGATTTACGCAATGAATGGCGCAACGGACAAGTATTCTCCGCGGGAAACTAGACACCTAGACTACGTTTCTCAGGCTACGACAGACGTACTACGTGTCTCAGGTGCTCTCAATTTCGTCGCGGATGCGCTTTCACGTATTCAGCAGATCATCTTATCGCCTGGCACCAACATTCATCTAGCCGCTATGGCTGCTGCCCAACCAGCTGATTCCGACATAGACAAGCTACGACGCAACACCTCGTTGAAAGTACGCGAAGTTCCACTAGCTTCATCTGAGGGGACTATGCTTTGTGACGTTGCACAAACTTCTCCCTGACCCGTAGTTCCTACTTCGATGCGTCGACTAGTTTTCAACGCTTTACACAACTTGTCTCATCCCGGCATACGTGCTTCGCAGAAGCTCGTAACTGAACGCTTCGTATGACCCAACGTCAATCGCGATGTCCGCCTTTGGGCACGCGCATGCTTAGTGTCAGCGCGCCAAGGTATACAGACACACTAGAAGTCCACTTGGCGTCTTTCCCGCTCCTGACTCACGTTTTGCACACGTCCATGTCGACCTGGTCGGACTGTTGCCTCCATGCAAAGGCTACGTGTACCTCCTCACTTGTGTCGACCGATTCACCCGTTGGCCAGAGACGATTCCGATAGTCAACTGCTCATCTGAGACAGTTGCGCAAGCTTTCCTAGAACGCTGGGTAGCTCAAGTCGGTTGCCCAAGCGTAGTCACCACTGACAGAGGATCACACTTTGACGGGTCCTTCAGCAAACTGCTCAACGTTCTGTGTTGCCAACATAACCGAAGCACCGCATACCCCCCCCCCACAGCTAATGGTATGACCGAAAGGTTCCATCGGCAACTCAAAGCATCACTCTGTGCGCAATCTAGCACATCATGGCACGAAGCACTTCCGCTCGTTCGCTTAGGCATAAGAAACACGATTAAAGCGGATTTGCACGCCACTCCATCTTCGCTAATCTTTGGATGCACACAACGCTTACCTGGTGAACTCATCTTACCAAAAGCGCCAACAACCTTCGACTATGCCGACTACGCAGGTCGCCTATCTCATCAAATGCGACAGCTTCAGCCTTTGCAACCCAGAGCACAAAACTTGCGTACCAACGAGGACGAACGCTTAACTACATGCACGCACGTGTTCCTTCGCACTGACAGCGTACGCCGACCACTTCAACCTCCTTATTCTGGTCCGTACCGTGTCGTACGCAGAAGCGATAAGACGTTTACCATTGACTACAATGGTAAGACTGAGACGATCAACGTTGATCGACTCAAGCCAGCATTTCTCGACAAATCTGACTCTTCGGTGCAACAAGCACCTTCACAGCCTGCGCCAGCACAGCTCGCACCGCAACCTCAGACGAGTCGGTTCGCTCCAGCAGACCCGACAACCTCAACCGACAGCACTCCTACTCGCCCTACTATCAATCGACGCGGTAGGAAGCTCAAACCTCCAGTTAGTTTTTCGGACTCCGTTAGCAGCGTGCCGCTGAAATTTTCTGCTCGTACCAAACGTTTACGAAAATCCCCCAAAAAAGAGCAAAACGTTTCGAAACTACCAAAAAGAGTAAAATCTTTTGAAAACCCAAAAACGGCTTTGCACGTTTTTCGCTTTGCACTCTTTTGTGTATTGCCATGCATTTATGCTGCTTTTTCATTCTGCTTTCCATATACACCGCCAGTTGGTTGCACCTCGGTTTCACTTGTCGCTGGAGCCCCGCACGTCAATTGGAGGTGGAATCAACTTCCTGCTCAACCGCATACCTGCACTTTCTAACTGTCCCCCACAAACAATTTTTATCGTTTCGACACCGTAGGGAGGACACGGGTCGGAGCCCGCTAGGGTCCGATGGCATGGTTCTAGAGCCTGCTAGACTTGTCCACCACTACTTGTTAGCTCTTGTAGAACCTTTACTATGTGTCCTACTCCAAACACGCCGACCCAGTCTTACCCGATCGGCCTGCTGCTCTCCGGATTCATTCAGACTTCTGAGAAGTCCCCTCTCATGGTTCTGCCGACTCAACTATCCGTTTACATTACCTAGAGTGCCTCTTAGGCTTGTCCCATCTTTCGTCAATTAACGTTGCTCATCCGGACCCTAACCATTTTTTATCGCGCTCCGCTTCTACTTTTTCTTTAACTGGAGTGCCTGATCGCACTGCCCGGCGATAATCTAGTCACACTGACCACACTTTCTCCCTGTCTGCTCCGAGGCTAGCCAGACTTAAGCGATATACGCTACGCAGACTCAACGCTCTGGTTCCCCTACCCCGAGAGGCTGCTAGATTCGTTCACTCTCTATTGTTACAGCTCTTTTTCCTGCCTTTATTGGGCCTGCTATTCCAACGCGCCGAATAATCGAGCTTCACCACATCGGCCTCTTGTTATCCGATTTCGCTCCGAGTTCTTCGGCGTTACAAACCTTACTTCACCTGACCTAACGTTCTGTTTACATAATCTGGAAAGCCTCGTGGACTCATCCACTCGTTTGCAATGAACCCTTCTCATCACCAACCTAACCTTTTCTTATCACGCTCCAGGTTCTTAATCTTTATTCCATCGGACGACCAGCTCTCACTGCCTTGTTGTGGGTCTAGTCCTACCTGACCAGCCTATTTCCCTCTGACTGCTTCCATGTTACCTAGAATGCAGCGGCATTCGCTCTGCAGAACCAACACTATGTTTCCTTTACGGCAGCCAGCTGTTAGCTCTCCGGAACAATGTCCATCCGTTACTGGGAACTCAGCGGGCGTGCTACTGTTTGTTTTTTCTTTTCTTGTCTTTTGTATTGCGGTACAATAGCTGAGGTGTTTTCCACCTCCAGCTAACGTGTAATGATGATGATGATGATGATTTACTTCTAGAGCCAGTTAGACTTGTTCAGTTTATTGTTATAGCCTTTTTCACATTACCTATCTTGGTTCAGCCAACCTAATGAATCTGTTTACATTATTTGGAGAGCGTCGTGGGCTTTTCCACTCTATAGCAATAAATCATTCTCATCCTGACCCTAAACATATCTTTCTTATCGCGCTCTGTGCTTCCATCTCGTTTAGAATCGAACGTCCAGCTTTACTGCCCTGCCCTGATCTGGACTCCCCTGGTCAGTCCGTTTCTCGCTGACTGCTCCTTTACAAGCCTTACAGACTCTGCAAACCCAAAGCTAGGTTGCACTTACCTTTAGAGCCTGTTAGAATTGTTCACTCTATTGTTATAGCCATTTACACACCTTCGTACGTTATGATCCAAACGCCCCGACTAATCCAGCCCTGCTTGGTCGGCCTTCATCCCACCGAATTCACTCGGACGTCTAAGACGTTAGATCATTAGGTTCGGCTAACCTAATGGATCCGTTTACATAACCTGGGGAGCCTCATGGGCTTTTCCACACTTTATCAATAAACCATTCTCATCCGGACCCTAACCTTTTCTTATCATGCATTCGGTTTTCGTTTTTTTCTCGATCAGGCGGCCAGCTTTACTGCCCAGCCGTGATCTTGTCCCCCCTGACTAGTCTGTTGCTCTCTGACTGCTCCCATGCTACCGTGATTTAAGCGGTATATGCTCCCCAGACTTAACGCTGTTATCCTTACCTTGAGGAACTGCTAAACCTGTTCACTCGTTAATGTTATGGCCATTTTCTCACCTTCATTGTACGCAATAATCCAAAGGCGCCGATTAATCCAGTCCCGTTTCGTCGGCCTCCTACTCTCTGAATTCATTTAGACTTCTAGGACATCACTTCTCTTGGTTCGGCTGACTTAATGGATCTGTTTACATAACCTGGAGATCCATGTGGGCTTTTCCGCTCTTTATCTGGGAACCCTTCTCATTACTACCCTAACCTTTGCTTATATCGCTTTCTGTTGTCCTTGCTTTTTCAATCGGATGGCCAGCTTTACTGCCCTATCGTGATCTGGTCTCACTTGACCAGTCTATTTCTCTATAAATACGCCTTTGTGACTGAGACTTCAGCGGTACAGGCTCTGCAGTCACTCCTTTAAGTTCCTTACCTCTGAAGCATGCTAGACTTGTTCAACCTTTATCGTTTTAGCATTTTGCTTACATTTTTTGTAGTCCCAATCCCAAAGCGCCGACCAATCCAATCCCGCCTGATCGGCCTCCTGCTGTCCGAATTCACGACGAATAGGAGACGTTACCCCTCTTGGTTCGGCTATCCTAATAGACTGTTTACTTCCTCGAAAGCCTCAGACTTTTCCACACTTTCAATAAAAGCCTTTCTCAACCCCTTTTTTCCTTATCTCGGTCTCTGATGGCTTTTTAACTGGATGGCCCCGTCTGTGCTTTAGTTTGATCTATTCTTATCTGACCGTATTTGTGTTTTCTGTAGGCATCCATACTACTGAGGCGTATATGGGCTATGTTCTGCATACCCAAAGCATTGTTTCCCCGCACCAGGCTCCGATGGCTCGGCCACGTGTTGCGCATGCCAGCCCACCGAATCCCTCGACGTGCGTTGTTTGCTCACCGGGGATGTGGGTGGAAGAAGAGGAGAGGTGGCCAAGCGATGACTTGGTCGAGAGGAATGAAGGCCCTCACTTCTGAGCTGGCGTCTGTTGGAGCTTCACGGCTCCCTGGTTGGGGTCCAAAAGACGGTGAACACGTTTGGCTGGATACACTTGCTGACATGGCAAGGAGCCGACCTCAGTGGCGTTCGTGCTGTGAGTTTCTTTGTCCCTCCCCATCCCGCTTAGCCTCCCCCTCCACCTACGATCTCATTTCTTAGCGTAAAACATAATTTTTTTTCTTTTTTTACCTGGTAGCTGGCTGGTAGCTTACCGGAACGATGCCTATCCGTTGCTGGTAGCTCAGCTGGCATGCAACTGTCGTATTTATTTTTCCTTTATGTATTGTATTTATGTATATATCTCCTTTATGTATTGCGGTACAATAGCGGAGGTGTTTCCCCACCTCTAGCCGACATGTATAATGATGATGATGTTTCCCCGAGAAGCTTGCTGGACTTGCTCACGCTTTATTATCATAACTTCTTTCATTCCTAACTCTGACGTCAGTCATTCGTGTAGCCTACTTAATTAAACGACGGTCTCAATCCACGAACTAACCCAAACGCTTCGGATCGGCCTCTCGCTCTCCGACTTCGCGCAATCCCGAGGCGTCACTGTTTACAGTACGGCTAAGCTAAGCTTTTTATGGAACACGTGCTTGAAATATTTAGTTTGTAATGATACATATAATGTGAGGTTCATTAGTGAATGCACTCGTGCGATTGATCTTTTTCTCTGAGTTTCGGATACATCGTTGTCGTTTGTTTGTGTGGCTGCCTTTGTTCGTTATTTTTTTCTCAGAGATATTTACAGATTCGGTGGCCAACAACCGA